GATGTGTACAAATATACAGAGATGTGTACAAATATACACACATGTGTACAAATATACAGAGATGTATACAAATATACAGAGATGTATACAAATATACAGAGATGTATACAAATATACAGACATGTAAACAAATATACAGACATGTAAACAAATATACAGACGTGTACAAATATACAGACGTGTACAAATATACAGACATGTGTACAAATATACAGACATGTGTACAAGTTTACAGAGATGTGTACAAGTTTACAGAGATGTGTACAAGTTTACAGAGATGTGTACAAGTTTACAGAGATGTGTACAAATATACAGAGATGTATACAAATATACAGACATGTGTACAAGTTTACAGAGATGTGTACAAATATACAGAGATGTATACAAATATACAGAGATGTGTACAAATATACAGAGATGTGTACAAATATACAGAGATGTATACAAATATACAGAGATGTGTACAAATATACAGACATGTAAACAAATATACAGACATGTGTACAAATATACAGACGTGTACAAATATAAAGAGATGTGTACAAATATACAGACATGTACACAAATATACAGACATGTACACAAATATACAGAGATGTGTACAAATATACAGACATGTATACAAATATACAGAGATGTATACAAATATACAGACGTGTACAAATATACAGACATGTATACAGATATACAGACATGTATACAAATATACAGAGGTGTGTACAAATATACAGAGATGTATACAAATATACAGCGATGTATACAAATATACAGAGTAGATGCATTATAGACTTCAAGGGTCACCACTGTAACATTTCCAGATGTTTGGATGGAAAAGGAGCAGCAGACCCGTGCCGCTCCGTCTCTCTGAGCTCCGTTTGTGTTTCTGGCTCCAGGTCTGGCCTGGATGGTGATTCCCAGAACCTGGGCTCACGTGTCTCTTGGAGGTCTGGACTTCCAGAGCTGGAGGCTGTTCGTGATGCTGTGCTCCGTTCCCAGCCTCACCTCGGCCCTCGTCTTCAAGCTGGTCATGCCGGAGAGCCCCAAGTTCCTCATGGAGGTGCAGAAACGGAGCGGTCGGCTCTCGTCGGCCTCCTGACACGCCTGACTCCCGTTTCCTGTCTGTTTCAGAGCGGTCAGGAAGAAGAGGCCGTCCGTGTTTTTAAACAGATGTTTGAGATGAACGTGAAGGGAACTGAAAAGGCTTTTCCGGTACGCAGCCAGTTTCTCACGGTTTATACGTCCTGTTACTGATGTTTGGAAGAAACATAAGAGACTCAGAAGCAACAGGAAGTACTCCTGAAATAAGATGAAGACGTCTGATGTTTCTGTGTCCTTGAACTTCACTTGACCCAACGCCGACTCTCATCTGGATCTTTTTGTGAAGGAGTTCGGTTTGCGTACGAGCTCCAAGCGGAGAGGGGAGCGGGAGGACGTCAGAGCTCCGGGTTCACGGAGAGAACGCCTCATGATCGCTTTAAAAAAGGTAACGTTGTGAAAGTTCTGCTCCATCCAAAACGGACCTTCAAGGTTTTTTTAATTAACGACGCACTAACGTCGCCTTTTTATTTACGCTGCAATGCATTCTGGGTAAATGACGCAGACGGGTTGCTCCGGTGTGAGCTCCGTTCAGCTCGAACATTAATTTTGGACGTTGAGTCTTAAGTTGAACCAGGACACAGAGCCAAAGTTGTTAAATCCTGAGCGGATCGGCTGTTATACTTGGAAACGTGCTCGTTGCAGTAGATGAGTTACCGTATTTTCCGCCGTACACGTCGCACCGCCCTATAAGTCACATCCGTCCAAATATGTCTAATAAAGTGGAAAATAAAACCATAAATAAGTCGCATCTATTACACATCACCGCTGACAATCTGGAAACATGGTGTTGTGCCAAAAATCGATTGGCTGCCAATCGGTGGCCGCGGGAGCGTGCACGAGAGGATTTTAACAAGAATTTAATAAGTTCAACACCTAAAAACAATTATTTGTTTGCTCGACTTTATAATAAATGTGTGTCTCGGTTGAACTTTTACTTAATAAATGCACTTTAACGGTCAAATCGGCTGCATTTCACCGGGACGGTGCAGCAAAATGAAGCTGATTGGTCGGTTGCTCCAGGCGATCTGGACGAAGGTGGCAGGCTATGGCAAGCCGATTGTGTCGCTAATAGCCACTTTTACCTATTACATGATACAACGGCATGCCATACTACTCGAGTGCCATCTAGCGGCTGAAAATGGTAGTGTTCGATATTTTCAGTCAGAACGAATGAAAACGGTCGTATCTCGACCAAACGTTGGTTTAAAAATATGGGAAAAAAAAAATCCATAAATACGTCGCTTCGGTGTAAAAGTCGCAGGGCAAGTAAATTATGCAAAAAAACTGCGACTTATAGGCCGAAAAATACGGTAAATATGGAGGTGAATGACCAGCAACGTCTTGTAAATGAATAAACCAATGAATTTCAGGACGAGTGTGAAGAGAAGCCATTTAACCAGAGAGTGGAGACAATGATTTGATCTTTAAGGAGCATTTGTAACAAAACCAATAGAGGGATAAACTGTCCAGCTTACGAAGGACACACACACACACACACACACACACATTCCTTGTTAAGTCCAGAAAAACACTCGTCTCCAAAACTACAAACGTTCACTGTTCAACTCCCTCAGTGACGGGGACACAGGCCCAGTTAATTTATGAGCGCTGAACAAGGACCTTTCCTTTCTTTGTTGTTGTCCTTGCAGGGCCTGGAGCCCATCCAGCAGATCTTCAGAGGTCCCTTCAGAGTCAGAAGTGCTGCTCTGCTCGTCGTCTTCTACTGCATCTCCTTTGGGTGAGGAACCTCATGTCTGTCCTGACGCTTCGTTTGTCTCCCCCCCACCCCCCACCCCCCGACACGCTCGAGATAATTTAACGAAACACTCAGAGCGTCGTGCGCTTTTAATCACAGCAGCTTCAAGGTCAAGGTCAAATATTCCAGCAGGTCTTTGCGGTCACAGCGGTCTCGACAGCTGGAGAGGATTTATTTTACAATCGTTATCGTCCCGTGTGTCTCGTGTTCGTGAACGCGGCGTCATAATCTTTATCTGTCTCTCTGAGCGAGAAGCAGAGTCCTGCGGGTCACCGTGACAAAACCACACGCACATTTGAAACGTTCAGCCCCGTCAGTAGCTGCGCACCAGATGGTTCCTGAGATATTTTGCTAACAGGCAAAACACCTTCATCTTTTAGTGGTGGGTGACCTCAGTCGTTTTGAACAGAGCTGCCCTGCTGCTACACCTTATCTCGTGTGTGTGTGTGTGTGTGTGTGTAGTTACTACGGCCTGTGGATGTGGTTTCCCGAGCTCTTCACCAGAGTGGAAGGCGGCGGCTCTCCCTGCGCCAACGTGTCCCTCCCGTCTCCCGTCCACAACCAAAGCTGTGACCCAGTGAAGACCGCAGGTGTGTTCTCCGAACTCGTTTCGGTTCTTTTCCTTCCCGGACCCCAAACAAGCGTTTCCACACGGAGCTGGTGTCGTGCGTGACGGGAAGTGTTGACTCCTGAAATGGAACAAGTTTTTACGGCCGGGGGGCAAACGTTGGTAACTTTGCCTTAAAGCTCATTTTGGAGTAATTTACTGAGTTCTTACTGCTGTGGTTCCTGATCCAGGAAGTTTTATGATAAACATCTGAATGGTGTTCGTGTTTTTTAGTAAGTCACACGAGCTGCTTTATTTTTTACAGATCAAATAATTACAAGTCAGAAATCATTTCCCCATGAACTGTATGTAGATTTGAGTTGTTCCTGCTTCTACAGGTGACATGTCCCCCACAGCATGCTGGGTCCGTGTGTAACCTGAGCCCGTCTCGTTGTTTGTGTCCTCACCTGACAGTGTACATGGAGGGCTTCATCGTCGCTGCGTCCAACCTCCCAGGAAACGTCCTCACCGTCCTCATCATGGACAGCACCGGAGGAAAAGTGTTGCTTTGTGAGTCTGCTCGCCCTGCAGCTTCAGGTTCCTCGAGCGCCGCTGAGAAGAGCAGAGTGACGCAGGGGCGCCACCAAGGGGGGAGCCAAGGGGGGCACTGGCCCTCGAGTCCCAAGCTTTGATTAGTAGAAACTCATGAATGTAACAAGGAACACTTGAACAGTTTGGAGGTAAATCAGTGTTTCCCCTTCCGTTATACAAGTGGGGCGCACTGCCCCGTCAACAGAAGCGAACGCCCTACCTTACCCCCCCCCCCCCCCCCCCACCGTATCGACATAGTGCGGGACACAATACAAACACGTTAGCAAAGATGCTACTGACATGCCACTCCGCTAATGATTTATAAAGTGTTTACAGAGGAATTAATAATGTATCTATAAACTTCATTAGCATCTTCAGTGTTTCCTCTAGATAACTTGTCGTGGCGGGGCGCTCATCTCGTCTGTGATTTTTGTCATAGTGATGGGGGGGGGGGATAGAAGCACACGCGCCATGCGTTGTAGGTATGAACAGTTGTCAGGGGGGGGGGGGGGGTGTCAGTGTGAGGGAAGAGGCTGCCATTTCTTTTTAGCTAGCGCACCTGCATTGCAAGATGCAAGTTTAGCGTTGCACGAGTGCCGGGCGGGGGCGGCAGACGGGGCGGGGCGCTCCGCTTGTGTAATGGTAGTGGAAACGCTGATCTTTAAGAGGAGCCTTATCGTAAAGTGGAACTGGTATTTCTCACTTTTTAGTGAAAATGAGAAAAAGCCAAATGTAAGGACACGTCACCAGAACTCACTTAACTCTTAAAGCTAAAGTTTTCCAATCACCACTTTACAGGAAAAGCTTATTTAAGTTTCTGAAATTCTGTTCTGACCTTTAGTTTTGACGTGCCACCCCAGGATTTTCAGTGACCCCCACATGGCCACCCCGTTAATACATTTCTGGAGGCGCCACTGGAGTCATGTCGTCTGGCTTCCGTCGGATTCATGAGCCATTAGCGTGGAGGGACTGCTGTCCAGTGACCTACGGTGACTCACATTTTAAAAGTCCCCCCCCGTTTGTGTCGTGCAGCCGGCAGCCTGTTGATGTCCAGTCTGAGCGTCTTCCTCATCTACGTGGTTCAGACCAAAGCGCAGAGTCTGGTCCTGTCCTGCGTCTTCAGTGGAGTCTCTGTGATCGCCTGGAACGCCCTGGACGTGGTGGGAACCGAGCTGTACCCGACCCAGCTCCGGTAATCCGTCTAAACCCAACAAATAAAGCAGTAGTTCAGATCTTTAAGAGCGTGGCTCTGCGCTCCCTGAAGAAACCGTTTCTCTTTCAGGTCCTCAGCTCTGGGTTTCTTCACCGGAGTGGGCCGAGTGGCAGCCATCATGGGTAACGTCGTGTTCGGGAAGCTGGTGGACACTAACTGCACCGTCCCCATCCTGCTGGTGTCGGCCCTGCTGCTCACAGGAGGACTGGTGGCCCTGCTGCTCCCACAGACCAGACAGACGGAGCTCACGTGATCCGAGACGCTCAAGACTCTGAAACTCTAATGATTCTCATATTCATGGCGCCTCCGTGCCTTTAGACTGAAATATGAAACAACAAAAAGTTTGTCTTCCTAGACGTTTCATTAAGGGAAGCAGAAAAAGAAGTTCGCACAAGGATCAGTCTTTGCTGCAACTTTAAAATAAAATATATATATTTTTTTAAATAATCAAATCACTAATAATGAAGATAATTTTGACAATTATTGTTTTTGTTGAAAAAAAAAAGAACCAGAAAAATGTTTTGGTCGTTTACACTTTGTAATCTTGAATGTTTTAAAGGCTGATTTGCAGTAAAAATTCACATTCCACTTTTCTAAAAGCGTCTTGTTGTGACTTAAAACCGTAAAGGTCTTTATTATTATTATTTTCTTACTTTCATGTTTTCTAGATTCAAATATTGATCTGAAAGTTATTCCAAACAGGATCTGGTGGCACGGTTTTCAAAAAGTCCACTGTCCCTTTCGTTATGAGTAAACGAGGTCACAGTCTGTTTTAAAATCGTCCTGATGACTCGTGGACCTCACGGCTGCTTTTGATACTGTTCATCTTTATCTCCCAGTTAGAACACTGGGTTGGGAGTTCAGGTGGAGCATTAGACTGGTTCCGTTCTTATCTGAGTGACAGGAGCTTTTGTGTTAATGTTGGCAATTAAAACGCCTCTCCTGTGGGGTTCCGCAGGGCTTGATTCTTGGAACCCTTCTGTTTTCACTATCCGCTTCCTTTGGGGTCTATCCTGAGGAAACATGGTCTTTCATTTCACAGTTGTGCCGATGATTGTCAGATTCATCTGCCGTTGAAACCTAATAGTTCTTGGTCCGTTCACCCTCTGTTAAAATGTCTTGATGACGTCAAGGCATGGATGTCTTCAAATGTTTTAAGTTTCAACGATCAGAACAGTGACGTCGTGTTTAGCCCCGTCTCTGTTCCTGTAAACCATCACTCTTCAGCCATATCTTCAGCAGTCTGTTACAAATCTCACAATGGTTTTAGACTCTGACTTTTAAGTTTAATTAACAGATTATCTCTGTTCTACAAAAAAACTTCTTCCAGTTAAGGCAGGTAGCTAAGCTTAAGTCCTTGTTGACCAGATCTGACCTTGAAAAAATAGTCCATGCCTTCATTACAACTCGAAGGGACTACTGTAACACACTTTATGTTGGGGTCAGTCAGGTCTCCCTTTAACATCTCCAGCTCGTCCAAAATGCTGCAGCTCTGCTCTTAACAGGAACTATAGGTTTGATCATATTTCACCAGTTTTGTCCTCCCTTCACTGGCTCTCTGTACGTATCAGAATAGATTTTAAAATCCTGTTGACCTTTAAGTTTAAATGACCTTGCACCCTCATATCTCTCTGACCTTCTTCAACCATATGTTCCTTCTCGGGCGCTGAGATCATCTGATCAGCTGCTTTTGGTTGAAGCTCAGAGGAGGTCGGGCTTTTTCAGACATGAGCCCTAAACTCTGGAACAATCTGCCCCCCCCCCCCAACATTAGACAGACCACTTCCTGTTTTTAAATCTCTTTTAAAAACTCACCTGTTTTCACTGACTGTGATTTGATTTAGTATTTCACTGTTTTGTGTTTTTCTTTTGATGCTTTTAATTAATTTTCATTATTTTTTCTTTAATTGCTGCCTTTGATTTTTATTGTGAAGCACTTTGGTGCTTAAATAAATTTGATAAATTAACAACGCGAGCCGACGTGAAGTAGCTCAGGGTTGAACTTGTTGCTCAGTTGGACTGAACACCGCGGTGCAACTCTGGACGATTTTATTCTGAGACCAGCGACACACAAGGTTCAATTTTAGACTTTTATTTTGTAGAATAAATAACACCTCAGGGGTACATTCACCACCACACACAGGGTTAACAAAACAGACTTCAGGTGCTGACGTGACGTGAGGAAGACCGACTTCATGCTCGGGATGTTACATCAAACGTCATTATTTTCACCGGAACAGACCGGAGCTCCGGTTCAGAGCAGCAGGTTGAAAGAAGTCCAAATGAAGTCACGACTGCTGAAGTTTTCTGACGGTGTGTTCAAAATAAATCCTTCAATCAGACGTGACGGGAGAAAAAATGTTTCCAACAGTGAAGGAAGACAAACTCTGACCTGCAGCCCTGAATGAAAACGTTTCAAATTATATTTAATTAAAAACGTCTAAAGTTAATCTTAGCATGAGTTCAAATAAACCAAGGGCTTTAAAGAAAAATCACATGTAGGTGAACATTTTAATTTACAAAAGCTGGAAATTTTTAGCACTTAAGATGACATAATTACAATCATAATTGTTAGTTTTTGTATTTGATTGGTTATTTTGTCAAGGTGCCAAAAGTCAGATGAGAAGGTCTGAGCTTGTTTAAGCTGGAGCAGAAACCTGCTGGCTGATGAGCATGAATTAAGAGTGGGAAAGAAAAGATAATTTAGGGAATTCCTCAAAGTAAACAAACAAAAATAAACTTCTCAGTTGGCTGAAGTCTAAAACTCCAACATGCTACGTTTTATCTGTTTATTTTATTAAAATATATTTGTACTTTGGACAAACCAAACCTAATCTTTCCAAGCTGACGTCTGTGGTTCTTCTCAGGCAAATCTAAAACGAAGAGCTTTTACCAGAAAATTAACTCTTTTTAGTAAATAAATAAAAAAAGTAAGATATAGAGAAGTCAGTCAGCCTTGGGTTTGATGTTTTGGAAAAAAAATTTAATGACCACATCAACGTAAAAACTGGCGTTTAGTTTCTTTTCTAAGTAATATTAGGCCAAATACAAGTAATGATAGTTATCATGTGCCAAATCAAAGTTAAGCAATGATGTCATACGTCCTCACGCAAAACTCAATTAGATTATTGTCTGTAATGTGGCAGAAAGAAATCATTCAGTTTAGGGACGAACCGGTGATAATTATGTTCATTTGATCTTTTTAAATTTGTTCTTTATCAACAACTTTTCTTTTAGGAAACAGAGTTTTAGCTAAAACTAATCATTAATTGATCTCTGTGTACATTTGAATGGTCTTTTTGTTTTACACGTCGTCATTTTTAAAAACGGTGTCGTTTGAAGACGCCTGCGGTACGAGGCCGTTAAATAATCTGAGGACGACAAAGAGAAGCTCTTTGTTCTGACGAACCATCGTTTTGTGGTTTCTGAGGCTCTCCTCGGCAGATGCAGCTGCTCAGTCGTGCAGATGTTCCAGTTGTTACCGGCTGATGAAAGAGCAGTCACAGGAGGTTGTAACACCAACACATACTTTATGACACAATTTGAGATTTCAAAGATTTAAAACAATTTTTTAAAAATAAAGTAGATGCCATTTCTTGCATCCTTATGTATTTTAACCGGTTAAACATCTACATTTACCTACATAAATAAATTATTTAATAATTAACTAGAGAGCAGCAAGACGTAGCCTGACCAACAGCTCTCCTTGTGTGAATAGAGCACGCTCTACTTCTTTCAAGCATTCTAAGCCCCCCCCTCGCATGTCAAGTACCATTTCCATTCTCACTGCCTTCACGTGCTTCTGTTTTCGGTTGTTAATGAGAATACTATTTTTTAATGAAAGTAAATTAGATTACCTTTTCCACATTTTTATCGCTGTTATTTTGACAAATTGGTGCCGTTGTTTTGATGCGTGATTAAAGTGAATAATACACATCAAACATTTGTCTTGTATTTTTAATAAACAATCGAAATTTTATTAATGACTCACTTGTCCAGAACATCCTTGTAAGAGACTGATGATCTCAATGGATTTCTTCCTGGTAAAATAAAGTAATAAAAATAAAACTTAAATTGTAAAACTGATTTGTAATTTAGTTGTGCTGTTTAATTATATTTTTGTGTTTTTCATTAAATTGCCCATGACTAAACTTTTATGAGCAGATAATTTTTTAAGGGTAGACGCAGAAATGCTTACTTGAAGGAGCAGCTCTGATGTGATATTAGGAAGTTCATAAGTGGCTGTTATGTTTAAAATTAGTGTTTATGTAATTATTTTCAGATTAAATATCCAATATAGGTTTAATTCGTTCAAGGCAGTCAAATTTGTTTATAACTTTATTATTATTAAGTCTGAGAGTGACCGGATCCAAGGAAATGGTTACTGCACCCTGTCAAAATAAGAGAGGTTCCGGATCCTGTTCTGGCTGGATCCGGCTCAAATGAAGCCCTGGCTGTTACAGAAAATTAACTCAAAAACTTAAAATAAATAAATTAATTTAACTTAGCTGTGGACATTTTAGCCTTCGCTAAGCTCGAGCTGTTGTGGACGAACGTCCAATGATTCGTTTCTGAGAGTTTCATTAAAATCTGCTGCTGGTTCATGGGAGATGTAGTTACAGGATCACCCTCCAGCACCAATTAAACATCTCCTCTATGTTTAAAATTAATATTTAGTATAAATGTTTTTAAAAACGGACCACGTGTCGCTTGAGTACTGAGCCCAAAACTCACTCTGCTGAAGCTGGACCTGATAAACGGACTTCTGAGGACCGTAAACAACCCCAGTACCGGTTGGACCTCAAGTTTCTGACATCTCAGTTACAACTAAACAGCTGCATCCACTGAAGAAGACTGCTTTAAAACCAACTCAACGTAAAAATGAATTTAATTATGCCTATCCAATGAAAATAAAAAGCTGCGTTTCCCTAAACACAGACTCAGTCGTCTCCTCAGTGAAGAAACGCTACAAATGAGGTGTTTCTGGAGAAGGAAGCTCAAACCTTTCAGTCCGACAGTCGGGGGCTTTTAAAACGTTGGGGCTTGAGTTGTGGGTGAAAGGAGGGGGCGGATGAAATCTGGAGGGGGAGACGCTGCTGTTTCACGTCACTGCGTCAGAGCCAGGAGGATGTCTTTAACCAGCATGGTGCCGATCACCATCTTCTCACAGTTGACCGTCAGCTGAGCGGCGCCCTCCTCTCTGGTTGCCACGGTGACCAGCACCAAGCTGCTGCTGGTGACGGTCCTGCCAGCAAACCTGTGGACAGGATGAGCAGGAGGAGGAACAGGAGGACTGAGGTCAAAGCAGCAAAGACCAGAAGTAAAGTTGGAGCGATAAGAGGACAAACAAGTCGGTCAGGATCCACGTCGAGTAAACACAAATCTTACAAAGTGAAATTAGTGAAAAAATATATTTTATTTTTAGGAAAACGTGTACTTCTTTGCTGTCGTGTCCAAAGTTCAGCTCAGAAAATATCCTTTAGCACCACGTTCGGCCTAGAAGTCACGTTTGTCTCAACCGGTACCAAATAAAACACGGAGACTGGCAGTAAATGGCACCAGTGCTGTAGTTCCAGTTTGTGAGCTGCTACATTATCTGCACATAACTCATTACAGCTCTGAGCAAGAAGGACCAAACTACGAGTCATTTATTGATAATTAGTGAAGTCATACAACGGATAAATGGAAGCGTAAATATTATTTAACATTTGGATAAACTAGAAGTCTAACAAAACATTAAATATTTGATCAAACTCCTAAAAAATAACACTTGTTTTTTATGAAGTTACAGTCATCTAGTACTACCTCAAACCATGGTACAAGTACCACCGGAGGTACAAGTACCACCGGAGGTACTCAGGACCGCTCTAGTGGAGCTCAGCAGAAAGTTTGGTATGTATTTACAAAAGAACAGAAAAATGAGCGGCTCAACCTCAAACTTTCTTGGCTCCCAACAGAAATAACTGGAGAACATTTTGAGAAACTGGACAACGGAGAGCTGGTCCTCTAATGGGTACTTAGTGGTACCGGAGAAGTTTCTACAGGAACTCGACACAAGATGTAAAACAGAAAGGTTGAATTAAGTTGCCTTAAATCAGCTTGTGTTCACAGATAAGAAGACACGATTGTATTCACTTATTTTTCCAATATCTGTCATAAAGACGATGCTTGAAGTTGTATTTCCTGCAGCAGCACTCGGTTAAAAAAAAGTTTGAGAACCTCTGATAAGAATTTAAAACATTTCTGCATTATCGCCATCTAGAGGTAAATTTACAAACTGCAACTAACTAAAAACTCAAGGGCGTAAAAAAACTCGAGTGAGGTGTTTGTGCTGCTCTGCAACATTCACAGCATTTTCATGAATAAAGCTGAATATTTGCCGTTTGTGTTTTGATGCGATGTGAAAAGCTGCCACCTCTTTTCTCCAGAAACCGGTCAAAACACCGACATCGTTCCAGGACGTTACTGTTGTGTCGACCTTTAACCCTCTCACCTGCACTCTTTGTCTGAGCCACAGGGGACTCTGCTGAGGTTGGCGGCGGTGGTCACTCTCTGGACGATGGCGTGTTCGTTCCGACACTTGACGTCCAGCGTGAGCTTCTCTGTGATCTCGTTCATGCCCATCAGCTGACCTGCAGGAGAACAAACACAGCGCCGGTCAGTCAGTCTGTAACGGAGCAAAACCATTATAAAGCAGAGTTCGGCTAGTAAACCCAGTGAAAACTGTAGCTTGGTGGTCAGTGCCCCCGTCTCACACTCGTAAGGCTGCAGGTTTGAGCCCAGTTTGCGACGGGAACAGAACCTGGTGTAAAACGGTCAAATCCACTGTGTGAGCTCACGCTCTGTGGTAAGCGCTGCAGCAGGAAGCAGCCAAAAGAAAAACGATATTTAACATGGCCCCTGCTGGCAAAAGACACACGATGAGGAATTATTAATTTTTATCCTCCATCTCTAAACTTCAGAAAGATACAGTTTGTTGAAACTTGGTGATTTCTCACCTGAGCTTTGTTTACGAGACTTTAATAGCTCGATTTTTATTCATAACCGTGAACCCATCCTTTCCATTGTCAGTTTCCTGAGTGTCCCTGCAGATGTTTCCTGACTCCTGCCAGTTTTATGATCAAAGTAAATCCTGTTAAATGTGCTCAGTCTGGCTGAACGTTCAGGTCTTCTGTTGGATACAGAACAGCATCGTCACCTCTCAGTAAAGTACAACATGATGTTTACCAGAATGTTAAACATCTCTTAACCTGCAAATCAAACAAATCGGCGCTCATTAAATTTGTTGCACTGTGCAGCAAACGGCTCGGACAAGAAGTGCTGCAGGTCTCGGCAGATGAGCCGCTGTGAGACAGATGTTTTTATTTACGTGGTGCTTGGAGGACTGAAGGAGTTCAGAGGACAAACATTTCTTTGTGGAGCAGCAGGTGAGTTGGTCTGCTGTTGCAGAAGGTGCAGATAAAGGTCGATCACTAAGGAGGATGGGGGGGGGTCTGTGGGCACACAAACAGCTGGGAACAACTAATCTATGAAAGCCAACCTCCCTAAACCACATGTTCTGTCTTACTACGGCTGACTTTCATTCCTCTTCTTTCAAGTGTAAACCTGCACCTCTCCAGGTTCTCTTCCACCTGTTCTCACCACAGATCAGACTGTACCAGTCTAACATGATTCTCTGCTCCTCTAGATTTCCTCATAAAACCCCACGGCTCCTCCCTCGGCACCCTGGCATATGCGTTTTCTAAATACACAAAGACACAATGGAGTTCCTTCTGACCCTCGCTGTACTTCTCCATCAGCATCCTCAAAGCAAAGATGGTGTCTGTGGTGCTCTTCCTCGACATGAAACCATACTGCTGCTCCCTGGAGATAAATATCTAATAAAAAATAATCTGCTGTATTTGCTGCTGTTGTCAAAACTTTAGAACCACTCGAACTTTGACAGGAAATTAGTTTTTAAAATGTTGCTTGTGTGCAGGATTTACAGAGCTCATCGTCAACACGGTGGAATGATGTGCAGTCCCTCGCTACTTCGCGGTTCGTTTATCACAGACTCGCTCTATCGCGGTTTTTCAAAATAAGATTGGACGTGACACACAACTGGCTGACTGATGAACGATCTGCATGGAATTTTTTATTTAAAATATATATAAGTTAAAATTATTTAGCACCTGCTGCAGCTTTGTGCAGCCCATACTGCAGATAAACTTCCTGCTGCAGCTGATCAGCTGCTCTCCGTGCAAAGCGGGGAAGTGGGCGTGGCCAAGCGCGCTTGCAGATGGCAAAGAGCAGAGGAGGCAAGGAGCTGAAATCATTCTGTGCTCTTTTAGAGCGTTTAAAGTTTAGAAACATTGTTTAGAGTGTGCAAGAGTGTGGGAAGTGTTTAAAACACATATACATACACACACACACACACACACACACACACACATATATATTTTTGAATAATAAAATAAACTACTACTAACTACTTGTACTATTATTCCTACTTCATGGTTTATCACTTATCGCGGGGCTTCATGGTACGGATCCCCCACGATAAATGAGGGACTACTCTATTGCATCTTAACACACACACACACACACACACACACACCTTGTTCCTTTTTGAACTCGTTTTCTGTGAGGAAGACGGGCCTCATCAGCTCTCCAACAGGCGGCTGGATCGACACGAAGAACTTCTTGGTGTGGGTGCTGCAACACAACAGAGTCTTGTTTTCAGGAGGAGATGAGGACTTCAGACTTTTAGTGATTTCAAACTCTCTGACTTTTTTTAATATAAATCAATCCAGAGCAGAATACGCTGCGTTCAGGTGTGGTCCTCGTCTCTACACAAGCCTGCTCAGGAGAGCTCAGCGTTACGGACCATAAAAGTTAGGCTTCTTCTCACCACAGCTGGAAGTTTGCTGCTTGCGTCGAGTCACAGAAATCAATGCCCATCACCGATGAGGCCGTCCCACCAGCCGGCAGCAACTCTGTCAACGCAAAGAAACAAAAACACACAAACTAAAAGAGCTGCTTTGACGTCCAGCATCTCCTGCTATTAGGTTTTAGAACATGATGTGCTTGTAAAACTCAAAACTAAAATAAATTGTGAAGTGATGTGAGACAGCCCTGTTCACTCGAAGAGGATGATTCTTCACATTTTCCGTCTGATTCCACACAACAGACTTCACTGTAGTTTAATGAACGGCGAGAAAGACATTTATTCTGTTTATACTCTGGACGAGCCACTGCTCACCGATCTCCGGGAACTCCTTGACCCTCATCCCTGACTGCAGCTTCACGTCCTCCATGTGCAGGCTCTTGGTGTCGGACGTGGAGTTGTTTGTGAACTGCAGCTGCACGGCCACCATGTTGGCGTCGGGGCTGAACGGCTGCCGGCTGAAGCAGTACTCCACCGACAGACCTTCTCCCGTGATGCGGTGCAGCAGCTCGAAGTTCTTCAGCGCGCTGGAGGGAGCGATGGTCTGCGGAAAGACGCGATTCTGTCATCTGCGTTTTACAGCATCACTTGGTTTCATTGGAAGAGAAGTTAGGAGTAAAAGGTGTGAAGCTCTTACAGCGGCTGAAAGGACGGAGTCAGACAAAGACAAGCCCTCCAGGTCCGTCACAAGGCTGCTGGACAGTAAGGTGCTGACGGGAGTGACTTGAGGCGAGGGAGCAGGTTCAACTGGAAGAGACGCCCACAAACTGAACACACCAACTCCATCCATCCATCCATCCATCCATCCATCCATCCATCCATACATCCATCATCTCCATCATCTCTACCCACTACTTCCTTTCTGGGTCGTGTGGGTCACTGGTGCCCATATCCAGCGGTCACTGTATGAGGCGGGGGACACCCTGGACAGGTCTCCAGTCCTTCACAGGGACGACACACCAACTTTTCACGTTAATTTTAAAATAATTTTTGATGTAGTCTTGTTGGTGGGCATTTCACGCACATTACTGAGGTCCTGTTTGTTCCTCCTGTACCGTTTCTTACTGCAGATGTCATCGTTTTGCAACTGTTCCAACTTCAAATTGTTAAGAGTCTTCAAGATGCATTGGAAAATAATTTTCAGCAGCTTGGATTTGGTTTAATACCCCCCCCACCCCACCCAGTGACAGCCTTAATAATGGAAGTTATAAAGACTTAAAAGATCTCCAGTCAGCAAATACCTTTATTTCATATCCAGGGCTGCCACTTTTGTCCAATTTCTGATCTTCTGCCACTCCTCTGTTCAGCAGCTTTGTTTCAAAGTGATTGTAACTTTAACTGACCCAGTCAGCCTGATGTGTAACGTCTGTGCTTCACCCTTCAGTAGCTACGCAACAAGCAAACCTTGGTTTCAGCTTGGTGCAGATGTCAGATACTTGCTTACTGTCTGGCCGATGTGTTCAAACCCCTGGTGCAAAGTGAAAAACAACATTTACAACCTACTGCAACCATTTTTTAGCAGGTTATAAGTTCAGCAAAAACTTTAAGCCAGGGGTGCCCAAAGTGGGGCCTGCGGGCCAAAGTTGGCCCCCCAAGCTGTCCTCATTATTATGTTAAAATTTCCTTTGAAGATTCAATGTGTTTCCACTCAGTCACTCCAAGTTAAAGTTGGCCCAATGACTCCTGTAATGACACTACACAGCTGGAGTGACTAATTTGTGCATTCATTTTTTAAAATTTTAATAATTTATTTTCCCCGTGACCCAAAATGGAAGAAGCGGGTAAAAGATAATGGATGGATGGATATTTTATTTTGACAGACTTCATACGGTCTCTCGGCAGTTTCTTGCCGCTGAATAACTTTTCATTTGACAAAGCTGAGCATCATGGAGGTGCCCCTTCTTGAGCCCCCCTAAATTTTACCTCAGCATCTCTGAAAAATTAAGAAACCATCATTAGGATTTTGTAAGGAAACAGTTCTCAAGCCTTAGATTCACCAAAATATTGAATTGAATAAATATGGAATAAATGACAACAGCCTCAAAGGGGCCAGTAAAATCTATAATTTTTTGCACAAGTCCCACCACCTGTCAATCAATCCAGTAGGCACGTCAGCGACTGACCAGTGAGCAACTGACCAGTCAGCGACCGACCAGTCAGCGACCGACCAGTCAGCGACCGACCAGTGAGCGACCGACCAGTCAGCGACCGACCAGTCAGCGACCGACCAGTGAGCGACCGACCAGTCAGCGACCGACCAGTCAGCGACCGACCAGTCAGCGACCGACCAGTGAGCGACTGACCAGTCAGCGACCGACCAGTCAGCGACCGACCAGTCAGCGACCGACCAGTCAGCGACCGACCAGTCAGCGACCGACCAGTGAGCGACCGACCAGTCAGCGACCGACCAGTCAGCGACCGACCAGTCAGCGACC